GGAGTTGTATTTAACGTATAAAGATGCATTTAACCAAATTTTTCTTTATTTAAACAAATGTGATGGCTGCTATTCATAAATTGCAGTACCTTTCTCGCCCTCTTTTACTATATTCCTTTCTTCTTTGACTCTCATAAATGAATTGAGATGCCTACATTTGCAAGGACCAGTGTCATTCCATGGAGAAAGCAGTGGTTTCCATAGGAATAGCTCCACTTATGGAACTCCTACTGTGTGCTAAGAGCTATTACTTTGCGTACATCCTTCTCAAAAATCCTTACAACAATCCAGCAAGTTAGGCATTATGACCTCCATCTTAAAAATAGGAAAACTGGAGCTCAGAGGAGTTAAATCCTTTGCCTAAGGTTGTAGCTTAGGATGGTGGATGGTGGAGCTGAGAGCTGAATCTAGGCCTTTCCTTGCTATACTGCAGCAGCTAAAACCATCTCAGAAAGGCATTCCTTTGAAAAGGATGTAGGGTTTGAGGGCTCACTGATGTGAGCTAGCCCTATGTCAACATGACGCCCATCAGGATATTGCACAGAAGCAAAGTATGACATGTTCCCTGTCTTGTCAACTGCCACTCATGGTCCTCACATGCTGTCATAAAGTGTCCCTTCATTCTGGGCTTCAAATAACTTGGTGCCTTTGCCCTTTTGAGTCACAGCTGCCAACCTTTCAATCTCATCATTGGCTTGCCTTGTATCAGATGTGCCAGACAGTTTTCTTTAAACATATAGAGCTAAGCTGGTAGGGAGCCATGGCAGCCTTAGAAATTCTTTTTGTTTCCATGTTAGGACTTATGATTTTTTGGGAGATTTTTCTGACGGTGTATTTCACTATCTGGCTGGTGGGTCTATCCTGAAAACCCAAATTGATGATCCCTCCAGCAATGCTAAGTAGACATATTCTGTATCTCTGTGATTTTAGGGAAATGAAATGCAATTGATTGTATCGACTGATCCATAGGTTGCATTGTCTCTTTTGCTTGCAGTCTTGGAGCAATAATATGCTTTATTTTCATCTTAAGTCTGCAGGTAACTCAATGTGTGACCTTGAGCAAGTCTTCACTTCTCCAACGAGGGTGAAACTGAGTCTCTTTGCAGAAATAAATCTGTGATTCTGTGATTAATCATTCTCCTCTCATCTCTGTGGGGTATTATTTGTCAATTGGAGCTTTCAGGGCTTTCATAAAATGTTTTGTTACTAGGACTCCTGCAATCAGCTAAGGAAGTATAGATATCAGATCAATAAAGGCCCTTAGGGAACTTTTAATTCAATGCCTGCATTTTGCTGATGAGGAAACTAAAACCCAAAGAGGTGCAGGGACTTGCCCAAGCCCATGCAAATCCACAACCAGAATCCAGGACTCAGCTCCCAATTCAGTGGCCTTTCTACATATCACTTCTAGCCCGTAGGTCAGAAATGGACCTTGATATTCACAAGCCAACCCTCCTGCCTTTTTTGATGGACTCTAACGTACTCATTATCATATAGGCACTCTGCAAAAATGGGTGGTCAGTGTTTTTCTCAAAAAATTCACGCAAAATTGGAGACAGAATACAATTGATCAGAAAACATCCAACATTTCTGTCATTTTTGGAGAGAAGTGCCTTATTCAAAGTCATCAGGCAAATAAGGGGCAGAGCCAGAACTGGAACTGGAGAGCTCCAGAGAGACACAGGGAAGATAATGGATTGTGACAAGCTGTCCATACAGTCCTCTGGCTTCCTAAAGTCCAGATGGACACCCCACACTGTCACATTGATTGATGGAAGCACCAGTGATAAGACAGTCACAAATCCCCAACACATGGAACCAGCTGCACGTTTGTTTCCAGGAGGCTCTAGGTCAGAACCTAACCTTCCCTTCTGCAAGCCTAAGTAGAGTTGCCACCAGCCGAAGGAACAAAAGCAGGACCCTGATAGGCTCATTCTGTGACCACTCAGGTGTAAGCAAAGAAAATGGAGGCAGACCAAGAAGAGAGTTTAGATTTATTTTTCACTGGATTTTTGGTGGTCTCTTAAACAAATCTGACCCTAGGCATAAGCTTGCCCTTTTCTAGTCCCAACTTCCCTGGATATAAAATACATGTTTGGCAACTGCTCTGGAAGTTATTAAAGCAGCAGTAAACTATGGGAGGCCAGAGAATTTCAGACAGAAGTTATTGCATCGGTAACTCAGAAACTAATTCCTAAAACTCTTGACACATTTATCCAGAGGGCTAGTGCCAATATAGAAATGGAAATCATTGTCAAGGGCCACTGTGTACCTGGAATTAAAATCCATCATTCCTCAGAGCAGAGAGCTATGATTGTGGCAGAATATGAATACTCCTGCCTTTCACCACCATCTTTCCTCAAAAATAGATCCTTTATTTTTCAGAAGAACAAGACAAATTCTGCTCTTTTTGTCTTTTTGTTTGTCTCCTTAAGAACCCCTTGTTTACATATTCTTTTCAAATATTGCTTTCTTTGACAGTCCCTCATTTAAACCAAAAGGCCTCCTTTTCTTTCAATTGCACCAGTTTTATTGTGGATGGAAATCCTGCTGGGTACAGTAACAGAGAACAAACTTTACAGCAGCAATAATCCCTTCTACAGCATCTATTGTGGGGAAACTCAATACACTTTTATTAAATGGCTGAAGAATTGGCTTCAGTGATCTGAATTAACTACAGAGAACAGCGATAGGGAAGAAGACTACCTCCTTCATTCAGCAGACACCCACTGCATGCCAGACACCAGAGACATAAAGCCACCAGCCAGGAGCACCACACTGAAAGAGGTGGTGGATTGTCTTAGGCAATGCCTTCATCAAAAGTTAGCACAGGCAGAAAAGACTTGGTGGGAACTAGTGTTAGCAAGCGCATGCAGAAATGGGCCCCCGATTCACTGTGGGGGGATTGACAATATGCCTAAATGTGTACACACTTTGACTCTGATTCTAGGAATTTGTCCTTAGGCCATATTTAGACAAGTACACAGAGTTAGCTTCGGCATAATCACGATCAAGAAAAAATTAGAAGCAATGCACAAATCATTAAAAACGCAATCATTAAAATGATAATGTAATCTATATTGTCTTGTGACATACCGTCAAGTGAGCAAGTGCAACCACAGAGTATATGTACTATGGTCTCATTCATGAAAAATGAAAATGGATTAAAATGGACAGGTTGGGCTTGACGCAGTGGCTCACACCTGCAATTTCAGCACTTTGGGAGGCTGAGGCAGGTGGATGGCTTGAACCCAGGAATTGGAGATCAGCCTGGGTAACACAGTGAGACCCTGTCTCTACAAAAAAATACAAAAATTAGCCAGGATTGGTGGTTCGCAGCTGTAGTCTCAGCTACTCAGGAGGCTGAGGTAGGAGGGTTAACTAAACCGGGGAGGGTCAAGCCTGCAATGAGCTGTGATCACACCACTGCACTCCTGCCTGGACAATAGAGCAGGACACTGTCTCAAGACAGAAAAAAAAAAAAAAACTGACAGGTTGTTCCCTTAGGTGGTGACTATGGTTATTGCTGGACAATGGTATTCTAGGTGACTTTTACTTTCCATTATCAGCCTTTCTGAATTGTTGGATTTTCAGTGCTTTTTATTTTTTACAGTGAGCATCACTTTATATTTAGGGGGTGGAAATGTTTTTAAAAATTTAATGGAAAGCTAGTTTTTCCCGTATTCCTTTACCACTTGTACCGCCATACCAAAGCCCAACCTAGTGGTAAAAACAGTGAAATAGTGTGATGATTTCATAGATGTATAAATAAGCCAAAACCCACCATCAAATCATACACTTTTTTTTTTTTTTTTTTTTTGAGACAGAGTCTCTATCACCAGGCTGGAATGCAGTGACGATCACTGCTCACTGCAACCTCCACCTCCCTGGTTCAAGTGATCCTCCTGCCTCAGCCTCCTGAGTAGCTGGGACTACAGGTGCCCGCCACCACACCCAGCTAATTTTTGTATTTTTAGTAGAGACGGAGTTTCACCATGTTGGGCAGGATGGTCTCCATCTCTTGACCTTGTGATCCACCCACCTCGGCCTCCCAAAGTGACACTTTTAGTACATGTAATTTATTATACATGAATTATACCTCAATAAAGTTGTTTTTAAGGAAAGAAAATATGAAATAATCTAGGTAATTTTTATTTTCCACACAAACCACTCAAAATAAGTAAATAAATCCCCCCACACACACACACACACTTGCAGACATTTATGAATCAATGTTGGAAAGTAAATCTGATGGTCCAATCAGTGACAGGAGCCTATTTCAAGAGGTTAATAGCATGAGCAAGGTGTAAAAGTGTTCATTTAATTTGTTGTCTATTCTTTGACAGTGTCAGTATCCTTGATTATAGGTGGGTACCCAGCTCACCATTTCGCCTGCTTCCATCTTTTTCTGTCTGCACTTTTTGCAAAGTCCACGTCAATCTTAGGTACCTTTTACCCCAAAATACATGCTTCGGTGCACTTTAATTTTCCTGCAGTAAATAAATAGCTCTTACTAGCTTCCCTGTTAAGTAACTGTAGAACAAACCTGAGGGTTCCGAGACTTTCTATCAGATAAAACTCTGAAAACCAATCATTCTTTCTAGAGATAATTATGAATAGAGTGATAAATGTTTTGAAGACATTTCCTTGAGTCTGCTGGCAGATTTTCTCAAGTATATATTTTCTTTCTTGTGATACTAGCTACTGAAATAGTCCAAAGAGCTTCATTTGCCTTAAACAGAATATGACAAAAGAAATGCCAGTGGTGAGAGTGGGTTTGCGAATTGCATCTCTAAGTTTGCTGGACTAAAAGAAAATAAGTATTTGATTGTTGCTGTCAGAGTCACTGTCCTCAGTGCCACTTAGAGTCCCATCTCTTGGTGCCCATGAAGAATGTGAGCCCTGAAGTCCCTGCAAGGACGTGACCCTGTCCACATGTTACGCCTAATTCTCATAACTGTTTCTCTATGCTTTTCTCCCCTGCTTTCCAATACAACCAGTTGGACAGTGCTCCAGGGAAGAATCGGGCGCCCAGACAACCCCTTTCGAGTGGCCCTGGAATATGTCTCCAGTGGAAACCGCAGCTTGTCTGCAGTGGACTTCTTTGCCCTGAAGAACTGCAGTGAAGGTATCTGAATCTGGCTTTCCCACTCTCGTTGGTAGCCTATTGTGTTAGATGTGTCAATAACCTGCAACCATGTTTAGCTGGGAATGCACACACTTATGAAGAAAAGTGTAGAATGGGCTGGGTGCTGTGGCTCACACCTGTAATCCCAGCACTTTGGGAGGCCAAGGCAGGTGGATCACTTGAGGTCAGGAGTTCAAGACCAGCCTGGCCAACACGGCAAAACCCTATCTCTACTAAAAACACAAAAATTAGCCAGGCGTGTGATGTGCACCTATAATCCCAACTACTTGGGAGGCTGAGGCAGGAGAATCGCTTCAACCCAGAAGGCAGAGGTTGCAGTGAGCCAAGATTGTGCCTTTGCACACCAGCCTGGGCAACAGAGCGAGACCGCGTATCAAAAAAAAAAAAAAAAAAAAAAAAAGGTCTAGAGTGTTTTAGGGACTAGTTCTGAATGACACCAGGTGATCCATATCCCAGATAATGAATTTCGAAGAGCTGGTATAAAATTGTATCTTCCTTGAGAACACTTAGGCACATAGAAGGGAACAGCAGACACTGGGGCCTACCGAAGTGCGGAAGGTGGAGGGTGGGAGGAGGGAGAGGATCAGGGGCCCAAGAATGAAGTGTGGAGCCAGAAGAAGCCTGAGGCACTCTCAGACCTCAATTCTCAGTTTAGACTATTCATGAATAACTTTGAAGGCCCATATCCCACAGTCATCTGTCCCATGTACAGGCCTGGATTTGAACTTTGTGCTCCTGGGAAGTGGTGTGTGAAAGGAATTCTCTTAGGGAGGAAGCCCTACTGACCCCCCGCCAACCCAGCTTCTTTTGCCCCTGTGGCTCTTCATTTATTGCTGGCCTTGCAGGAAATTTTATAGTGTATTTTGTTTTCGTTGTTTAATCAAAACTGGTTTATGTGTGGGGAAAAGAAAAATCACCATAATGTGATAGATTGAACCACAGTTCAAGTTGAAAAGGTTGTTAACCTATGATATGAGGCAATGTATGAGAAACATGTGGTTTGGGAGCAAGCCAGGAGCTTGTACAAATGTTTCCGCACTCCTGAACTTGAAGATTTGTGAATGTCTCTGGACATCATCAGTCCTCACAGATGTCAAGGATCTGTGTACCGTACAAAAGAGGCCATCTGTTGAAATGGAACCAGTTAACAAGAATGTGACAGGGAGAAGGTATCAATTCCCAGAATGTTCTCATTTGATCATCATTAGGAAAAAGGAATAAGAAACTACAAAATTCCAGATATCAGGCCCACTACAAATACTCTTGCAAAAATTTCTTGACCTGAAAAAAATTCTTTACATGTTAAAATCAAGAATCTCAACCTATAGATGTTTTCTCCCTTGCCCTGCAACTCCCTCTCACCTAAAAATATTCATCCCCCATAGCCTGTGTTGCATTTGCAGTGAGTCTGTTCCAGAGACCCGTCCCTTGTCTGCTTTTGTACCTTTACGAAACCAAGAGTTGACCTCCCTAAACTCTCTCTAATGATCCAGAAAGTTTCCGCTGGCAGGGCACTCTCTTAGAAGAGGGAGAGGATGAGTCTTCCTCTGATTCCCTAGAGAAAGTGGCTTGGCCCAGATACCTGGGGACGTTCTCATGGTCCAGCTTCCTTCTTTCAGTGGCTTTAGGTCCAAGAACAGATGGTCTCCATGAGGAGGCAAATGTTCTCTGTGTTTCTTCTCTGGGTCAGACCACCTGTGGTGAACAATGGATGTGGAGGGATTGATGTGGATGTGTAAGACAGAGAATAGTGAAGAACAAGGTGATCTCAGTGTTTGCTCAGAACTTCTAAATTTCCTTCCCATAGAAAACAAATTCAGGTGCACATCAGTAGGCATAGACAAACTGCAGACATAAGAATCATCCTAAAATTATACTCATATTTAAAGGGAAGGGGTTACTTTAAAGGCATACTCAATGCCTATTTGATGTAGCCAAATGTCTAGGTTTTCTGGGGTCATTGCTTTGGTTAAGCCAGAAGAAGAGGGGATAAGAGGAGAAAAATGGTGTCTTTGAAGGAGGTGAATAGGGCTGGCGACATTACTGGCCAGAACTGTAGGTAGGTCTGCAGGATGCCTGGTCTATTTTTCTGATAAGAACTTGGTCCCTTCATGATGAGGCACAGACACAGAGCACAAGGGGAAACACAACTGTAGAACTCCACAGCTCTTCCTTGGTCCACTGCAGAGACGTGCCATTTTAGTTCATCTGGAGAAGCCTCAAGGAGACATGGGACAATTCTCTTCGCATAGGAGATAACATCCATCTGTGGGTGTCATCAAGACAGAGGCCATTCCTATATCCTCTCTACATCCTTACACTTACCACAGTGTGTGACACTAGGTAGGTGCTCAGTTCATGTCAATTGATATGGACTAATGGTGAAAAGCTAACGCTGACAGAGCACTCGCCATGCACAAAGGCAAGTGTCAATGCCTTTATGTGTTACCTCATGCAAGCTTTACAATAATGCTGTAAAGCAGGGACTAGTATACTCATTTTACAGATGGGGAAACTGAAGCTCACAGAAGTTTCAAAACTTTCCAAGGTCATTGAGTCAGTGAAAGGTGGAGTCAAACTCGATTCCAAGTTGATCTGATGACAAAGCCAGTATTTCTGTCTAGACACTTGATATGGTTTGGATTTGTGTCCTCCCCTCCCCACCACATTTCATGTTGAATTGTAATCCTCAGTGTTGGAGGAGGCTTATGCCTGTAATCCTAACACTTTGTGAGGCTGAGGTGGGCGGATTACCTGAGGTAGGGAGTTCGAGACCAGCCTGACCAACATGGAGAAACCCTGTCTCAACTAAAAATACAAAAAAAAAAAAAAA